GCCATGCGGTGCCGCGGGGGCGGGAGAGGGGACGCCCTCTCGGCGCCCTGTCGCCGCCTGACGCGCCGGCCGGAGCTCCAACTGGTGGCGATCGAAACGCAGGCGCGTCGGCGCGCCCCTGGCCCGCTCCTTCTCCCCCTCGCTCACCCCATCCGTCCTGCTGCCCACCCCCACCCCCTTGCCCGACTGATGAGAAATGATCCCAACACAACAGATGAAAGAGATCCCAGTGCCACAGCGCCCCACTCACCCTGGGCCGACACGAGCCCAAAGTACCGCACCCCGGCCCTCTTGGCAGCCTCCGCCCCCGCCTTTACGTAATCGTAGTCAACGCGCTTGAACGCCTCCGCGCTGCCAGCGTCCTGCGGGGCCCCCGTACACACCACATATTGGGGGGGCGACGTTTGAGCGGCCGGCCGCGGGGTAGGCAGCGGGCCCGCAGGACGGCGGGAAAGCGAGGGGCTGCGTCCCGACCCTATCGGCGGCCCCGTGAGCCAAGGCGGCGGCGGGCCGACCGCGGGCCCCGCACGTACCCGCATCCCTGTGCCACACTGGCCGCTGCGCGGCGCCGCGCCCAGCCCCGGGCTCGCCCCGCCCCCCCCAGCAGAGGCCGCCCCCCCTCCCGTCGCGCACCGCGCGCGTCGTGCCCAGAGCGCAGAACACCGCGTCCGCGCCCGCCAGCGCCGCCGCCGCCTCGGGGCCGCCGAGTTGACCCAGGTCAATCGTGACATGCGCCACTTCCGCCTTGTGAGAGCCCGAATCCTCGGGGGCGCGGCGGCCGATAGTGGTCACTTTGCTCCTGCGGGGGGCGGTCCCGGGGAACGGGTTGCCGGCGCGGGCGCCGCGGCGTTGATTGGGTGTGGTGCGGCTGGGCACGGAGAGGGTGGCGGGGGCGGGCCGTGGCTGCAAACGGCGCCGTGGCTGCAAACGGCGAGAGGCAGCGTGCAGGAGCGCTGGGCACGCTACGGTACGTTGCACAGGGCAGGGAGCGGCAGCAGCATAGGCGAACAGCTGTGGCAGGGGATGGGAGATAAGAAGCTCTAGGCAGCCGCGGGCATCCCAGATGATGACGAGAGCCGTGTCGCGCCCGCACCACGTCCCGCTCCCGGCCAGCTGCTGCCACAGTTGTGCGCCGACTGCGCCGGTCGCTCCCAGCACCACTGCTGACGGCATGCCTGAGATCTTCGCGCTCCAATCGCACTCCTGATTGCAGTCGGACGCAGACGATCCGGGCACTGCACAAAGGCCGGGCGTGAAGAGCACAGCAAGACAGATCAGCTTTTGCAAGCTACCACAACCCATCAAAAAATCTTGTGATACGCAGAATTTTCGCAGGCCGGGTTGCTGTGAGGTTCACGTTTGTGTACGCGTTGCTGATGGAATGACGTCACTCATCGATGTTGCCTTGTGCTGAGACTGCACGCCAACTGCATCAGCTGCAGCTGCTCTGCTGCTTTATATGTGCCTTTTTGATGTGGTTGTTTGCTTCTGCGGGCCCTCCACATGTGTCACAATCATAAGATCTGGACGGCACACATGCCTGCTTGCACGCCTCATCTCAACCTGACCACAACTTGCCAGTCAGGTGAGTCTACAGCTTTTTTTGTGCTAACTCTACCTATCATATCAGTTGTATATATCCACCCACGTGGTGCATACAGGATACTGTTACTGTACACCTTATGGCCAGGCGCAATAGCAGGGCACGCAGATGCACACATATATACAAACCAAGATGCATCCTCTCACCCCACTCATGGTGCGGTTTGCAGCAGTCACCCACGCACAAGGCGTGTTGGCAGCATGAAATGTCGAACTCAGGACTACTAGATACATCAGCACTGCAGCCGCTCAGCCTCAACAGGATAGCAGTTGTATGAGATCAAACAAACACCCTCGTTGTCGCACCATATCGCAGATCCTGTGCACAAATCATAGCGCCAAAACACGCGCTATTCATATCCAGGGCTGCACCTGCCCTTCATCCCATCCCAGCCTGGAAAACCCAAGTCTGGTAGACAAAGCAGCCGTGGAACCCTATAAAATCAATAGGCCAACAGACAATTCCCCTCGTGCCTGCACACACCCGCTCAGATCCTGGGCACACCCGAAGCGCCCTCCCCGGGCTTGGCAATGCCCCTCTCGTCAATCCCAAACTCCCCAAGGCCCCCGCCCACCACGGCAGGCACCGAGCCAATGCCCCCCGCCCTGGCGCCGTGGCCGCCAACGTCCGCGGCGAGGGGGCCGGCGCCGACGTCGCGCACGGGGGTGCCCACGACGACGGGCTCGCCGAGCGTCATGGCCGCCAGCCGCGCGGCCGCGGCGCGGCTCTCCGCGCCGGGCCCCTCCTCCTCAACCCCACCCCCGATGGCCGAGTCTCCACCAGCGCCCACACCAGTCCCGGCTCCCTTCTCATGGCCGAGAACAGAGTCCTTGATGGCAGCCACACCACCGCCGCCGGCGCCGGCAGTGACGTCACCAGGCAGCCGCTCGTCTTCCTCCCCCACCTTCTCGATCTTCCCGGCCTGGTCGCGGTCACCCGGCGTGAAGAGGCTGGACACCGTCCCAGTGACGCCCTGCTGCACGCGGCCGGCCGCGCCGATCACGGCTGCAGCCGCGCCGCGCACCGCGGCGGCCGCGGAGCCGGCGTAGCTCGATGACTCAGCGCCAACGTCGTCGTCACCGGCAGGGCCAGAGGGGGTGGTGGTGCCGCGCGCCTCGTCAGCGCCGCGCTGGGCGCCCTGCTGCAGCGCCGCGGCGCCGCCAACCGCCTTGTCCTTAGCCGTTGCGGCCGCGCCAGCGGCCGTGTCGTAGGCGCTCGCCGCGGCCTGCTTCGCCTTGTCCTGCGCCGCGGCCACGTATCCCGGCGCCGCGTCGCGCGCCGCGGCGGCGGTGTCTGCAGCCTGCTGCTTGCCGACGGCGGCTGTCTCGGCCGCCTTGTCGTAGGCAGCTGCGCCGCCCTCCGCCGCCTTCTGCTTGCCCACGCCTGCCGCGTTCGCGGCGGCGTTGTAGGCGGCGGTGGCCCCCTCCACTGCCTTGTCCTTCGCGAGCAGCGCTATGCCGATGGCCGTGTCCCGCGCAACCGCCGCGGTGCTTGCGGCCTGGTCCCTCACCGCCGCGCCAGTCCTGGCGCCGGCGTTGAACGCGCCGGTGCCGTCCTGGGGCGGGCTGTCCTTGGAGGCCGCGGCGCCGGCGCCCGCGGCGGCGCCGACCGCGGCGTCGCGCACGGCGGCAGCACCCTGGACGGCCTTCTCCTTGGCCGCGGCGGCGGCCCTGGCGGCGGCGTCGTATGCGGCGTTGCCGCCCTCAGCTGCCTTCACCTTCGCTGTGTCTGCGTATCCAGCTGCCGTGTCGTAGGCGGCCGCACCGCCCTGCGCGGCCTTGTCCCTGGCCGCGGCGGCGTAGTCCGCGGCCGTGTCGCGCGCCGCGGCGGCGCCCTCGGCCGTCTTATCCCTCGCCGCGGCGGCGGTGTTCGCTGCTGCGTCGTACGCGGCGGCACCGCCCTGCGCAGCCTTGTCTTTGGCGATGTTTGCATAGTCAGCTACCGTGTTGTAGGCCGCCGTGCCGCCCTGCGCCGCCTTGTCCCTTGCTGCGGTGGCATAGTCGACGGCCGTGTCGCGCGCCGAGGCGGCGCCCTCGACCGTCCTGTCCCTCGCGGCCGCGGCGGTGTTGGCGGCCGTGTCGTAGGCGGACGCGCCGCCCTCGGCGGTGCGGTGCTTGGCCGCAGTGGCGGTGTCTACCGTATAGTCCCTGGCGGCGGCGGCATGCGGCGCGACCGCGTCGCGCGCAGCGCCGGCCGCGCCGGCGACCGCGCCGGCGGCGCCGGCGGCAGCGCCGCGGGCGGTGTCGGCGGCGGAGGACGCCGCGCCGGTCGCGCGGTCCGAGGTGGTGGCGGCAGCGTCGCGCAGCCTGCCGGCGGCGGTCGTAGCGGGGTCTTCGAAGGCCGAGTCCCTCTGCATGGAGTCGGCAGGGGGACGTGGGGGAGGGGCAAAAGGTGGGTGGATGGTGACTTTCTTGATAATGAGGTCAAGGGTAACACAGTAATTGCGCGCTGGATGGCAGCATGTGGGATGAATACGAGAAGTCGGCAGGGCAACCAGCGGCTGCAGGGCTTGTGTCCAAAGCTCACGCCAGGCACAAAGGCCCTTTCATTGGGCCCACAATCCGACCCTCACCCCACATCCCCTCCTCCCCTCAAGCTACCAAACCCCAAACCCACCGGGTCGTAGCCGGCGCCGCTCTCGTCGCCGCCCGCGCCGCCCTCAAAGCGCTCGCGCAGGCGCGAGACGGCGCTCGACGGCGCCCCCGAGGCGCCGCCGGCGCCGGCGCCCTCGTAGGCGCCGCCGCCGATGGGGCCTGCCAGGCCGCCGCCGACTTGCAGAAGCGGCGCGTAGCCCTCGGACGGGCGCTCGGCCGGCACAGTGGCGGGGTCGGAGGGGGGGAAGGCGAACTGGGGCGCAGGCTCGTGCTCGCCGAAGGTCTGGGG